ATCCACATACGGAAAGTGCAAAAGGCACTTCTTCGTTTTTCAGTTTCTTATTTTTTTTTCTTTCGGCAGAAGAATGTCGTTTTTTTTTTTGTTTTCTGCCGTTTTAATTTTGTGTTTTTTTTTTTGTATTTCTTTTGTATTGATGTGTACCTACCGGCCGCTCGACACAGGGCAACGTTCGGGATCCCAGTAGGCTGAGCCCCGCGGGCCTTCACAACCGGTAGGTACTGGTGGTTTAATTACTTGCTGCCTGCTTTCATCATTCAATGACGTCTTGAGATCTTCTTCAAGTCTTTTGAGGGCCTTGACGATATTCATTCTAATCGTATGCAGGATTTTCGCCCTGGGCTGTGGAACGCAAAGTTGGCTTCTTGCTGTTCTGCTGAGCATCACATCCTCCATATGGCCATAAGAATAACCAATCTTGTGTTTTTTACGTCAGTTGGGTTTTTCTTACAGTGAAAATGCCATAAAACGGGAACCAACATCCTTAAACCGCTAGGACAGAAAAACGGGGAGGGAGCGCAGGTACCGGGCGAATAGCGGTAGCGCTCCGGTACCGGCGCCGCTGCGTGCGTTCCCCACGCGTAGCGCTGTTCGCCCGAAATCCTCGCCGCCGCGACGAGGAGCGGGAACAAGAGATGCACGCTCCTCAACGAGAGCGGAGGCTATGCCTCAAGCATCATCCTTCATGAACAGTCCTAAAACTTAGCTAGGTTAGGGCCCCCATCCCGCAAATGACGGCCATAGCCAAGGAGAAGGCCGCTGGGCTTGGTCACCGGAATTGGTAGGGTGAGTAGAGCCTGAACAATGCAGGAGAAGCGCCGTTCTGAAAATGCGAAGTTACCACAGTAACTGCTCCGCAGGTATGCAAGCTGGAAGAGAAGCAAGGAGAGTGATGGAAAGTATAAAAAAGCAGTAGTAGTCCGGACGAGAGGGCTTCGGAAGATGCGCTAGCTAGGAGTAGCGTTCCTTCTACAGTAGCCATCTAACTCCTATCTACTTGAAGGAAAAGACTCACCGCGGAGAGGTGGTTCACCATGTCACCTAGGGTTTTTTACCAAGGTCATCAATCATCACAGTAAATCGCACTCCATTCTCACATGAGCTCGGGGGACAGGGGAGAGAGAATGACTGTCAGATAAGATATAGTAACATCTGCTAAAACCCTTGAAGGATACACACGGCACACGTATCGCTTTATCGTCAATCCTTTTATTTCTTACCTACCTGAAGGCAAATTTTACCTTCGGTAATTCATCCATTTTGTTACCTAGAGGTTCCTTCTCTCCGACTTCAATTGTCGCTAGGAATCCTATCGATCTCGTACCCTGGGCTCTCTCCCCCCGCGGTTACAAATCCGGTGAAGCCTAGCATCCTGGGTAGAGGACGAAACGGCGAGCAAGAGGTAGCCTTGATTTCCCAACGAACACAAATCCGAGAATCGGGAAGGGCGCAGCTGAAGGGCAATCGGGTAGGAAGCAATGCAGGGCCAGGCAGAAAGAGATACTCAAGGCCCGTACAGACCCCCAATGCTCCGGGGCCGCGCGGCGCGAGTACGGGCCGTAGGGAAATGCTACAACGAGGGAATTTGCCCTGACGATGTGAACCTGGGCCAGGTTGTAGAAGACGCAGAGGGGCGGAGGTTTGTAGTGAATAGGGACGTGGACGAAATCAAGGAGCAGTGGCTCAAAGAGCGAACGGTCATCATGATTTTTAGAGATGAGGCGAGGCTATTGTCCAGGAAGGTAAAAAAGGTTCTCATCCGAGCTTACGAAGATGGGTGGTACGCTCGAAAACTCTTCAACCCGGACATCAAACGGGGGAGGGTGAGATTCGAGGGACAGAACGTAATATCCTTCGTGGCGAAAGCCAGGAAAGTAGCAGAATGGCTTGTGGGGGAGGGGGAAGCTGTACTGGAACTGCAAGGGAAGGAGTACCGAACGATCTTCAAGCCATGGATGACTAAACAGGAGCTCAAGAACCTGCGCCTGCAAGAAGCTAACACGAACTTCTGGATCATAGCATTGCGGGTACAACTAGATGCTTACTACTACCTAAAAAGTGCGGTCACAAGCATGTTCGGGGAGGTGGTCCACATGCATCCACCTGAAATTGATCCCACAAGGCCCAAACTAATGAATGTGAAGCTTGACATGAGTCCGGAAGCACGTTATCATGTAGAGGATGAACTGGTCATCGAATCTCCCAAAGGAGAGCGGTGGAGAGTGGAGGTAGCATCCCCCTACACCGACTGATGTCGCCGATGCAGATGGTACTTCCATTCGGAGGAAACCTGTCCAAGAGCACGCCAAGAGGACGAGAGAGGTAAAGAAGGGGGCCTGAGGCAAGGCGGTCATAGAGCGAAGTTCCAACAACATCTGTACAACACAAGACGCAATGCGGAGCGAGACGCGACAGAGAGAAAGGACGCAGGACACGGGTCCACTCACGAGTAGGGAGGAGGAACTGCCAGTCGAAGCGCGGGGCAGACAGGAGCAGACCGAGAGATCCAGAGACAACAAGCATACATACAACCCGGCCCTGGCCCACTGCCCCAGGCCGGCCCACTGAACCACCACCAGGACCAGATGAGGCTGCAACAGAGCGAACGAGGAGAACCTCGGTATGTCATGCCAGACAGCAACAGGAGCGAGCCGGGTCGATGGGAGAGCGAGCAACTGGCAGGCAGAGAACACAACCCCTGGATGCAGGTCCCAACGCACCAGTCCCTTCCACCCCGCACAGGACCGGGAGGCTGGCCGAGGAGCAACAGTGCAGGTTACTCTCGCCAAACTGAAGAGTATCTGATCCAAGGCTGGAACGGCCCGCCAGCTGCACAGCAGACGGGGCATCACCAATTTCTGCTCTCAGCTGAAGAATTTCAGGGCGCATACGTGGACAACCCCGGACAAGCCGAATGCTATCAACTTCAAGGAGGCCCGACCCTCATCCAACACTCGTCAGCCGTCACTGAAACAAGGTACAGGGCGCATCCACACCAGCAACTCAGGTTAGATCGGCCACAACCATGCTACCCCCCAGAAACCATTGAGTAGGGACACTTGGCGAGGAATGCACCGGCAAACTCAGGACAGACAACGGGTCAACCTCATTATAACGCCAGCAACCTCAGACAAGAGCTCGAAGCGGGCCCCATCGGAAGGAGTAGAACACCTTGGAGACAGTGAGTGGCAAAGAGATCTGCCCAGCAGGACCTGGCAAGAGAAAATACAGCACAGAGAGGGGAACGGGGCAGAACCATTCCAGAGACCATCCAAGAGGAAAGAGCTACCGGGGAACTTTCCAAGACCTCTCTCACCTCTCAGTCTCAAGTCAGGATGGACAGTGAATCTCAAGCAGAAGAGAAGGACACAAGACAACTCTCGGAAGAACACTCGTCTTCATCCATGGAAAGCTCGGCACAGTCAAGACGGCAAGTGAGAGAAGGGAGCCGCGCTGAGGGTCAATTAAGACGACTCTATCCAGATAAGAATAAACGAGCAGAGGTCCTGCACAAGAGCTACACTGAAATGGTGAAGAGACGTGTGGTCCCAATGCTCTGTACTCGAGCCATGGATGGGACCTACTTCTTAGCGTTAGTGGATCCAAGCGGCCAATCAATTTTGCCCTCGGTGGAAGTAGACCGAACCCCAACACCAGCCCTGATCATGGAGAAGACCAGAACGCTGTACGGGGTTCACGTTCCAGTTCGAATCATCCCGGCGTCGACCATGGCGAGCGTGATATGTGAAACAGAGGACGACTTCTGCAAATTCTATTTCCCCCTACTGGACGCCCGCATCCCACTGGAGTCAGCAGAATCTCTAACTCAAGCAGGGGTCAGGTGGTACAATGTGGATATTGTAAGGGAGCGGGGTACACCCGAGCTGGAGAGGATAGCGGTGGTCCCAGGGATTAGTGCGCTGATTCTCCTGAACCTCAATGAGAAGCTCAGGAGGGAGGAGAACCTGCAGTCCGAGTTCATTCTCAAGATGCTAACGAAAGAATGAAGATCCACCTCCCAGTCTAACTCGTCACGTGGCTCTTCTAAGAACATCTCAGTCAACATGTCAGGAGGCACCAGCAGAGAAAGCATCAGGGCTGGAACCACAGGGGAACAACAACCAAGGACAGGAAGAGAGACACCCTGCATCCTCTACCAAGCGGGAAACAACATTTTCCATGGATAGGCTGAAGATAGCAACCTGGAATCTGAGGGGGTTGGGGGACACGACAGGCAGAAGGAAGAAAAGGAGGGTGAAAAGCTGGTTGCACGAGTTGCGAGTGAACTGCCTATTGATTCAGGAATCGAAACTAGACGAAGAGAAGCTGATCGAGTTGGGGAACTGGTGGGAAGGACCGCAAGTATGGTCCCCTGCGCAGGGGATTAGAGGGGGGGTGGGTATATTGCTGCATAGGGACCGTCAAGTAACAGTGCTAGAGAGCGAGGCGGATCTGTGGGGGAGATGGGCCTGGGTCAGGTTTGAGGCAGGCAATGAGGAATGGACAATCATGACTGTGTATGCTCCTACAAGGAGAAAAGAAAAAGCATTTTTTTTCACAAACCTCATGCTCCAGATCCCGAAAGTAGACAGGCTAATCCTGGCAGGGGACTGGAACCTGGCTCTCGACGAAGTTCTCAGTCCACAGTCTTCCGCAGCAGGCCGTAAGGATGCACAGACATTGCTGGACCTCACAATGGAGCTTGATCTGACAGACCCCTTCCGTCTGCTATCTCCGGAAGACCCGGGGTACACCTGGACCTCGCACATGCACCGGGGCAGACGACAAGTAACCAGACGACGCTTGGACTACTTCTTGGTAAGTAGTCAGGCATTAGAAGGGGTGACAACGGTTCAACACATCGCCCACCCACTCTCGGATCACAAACCAGTGGTAGTAGAAGTGAAGCTGCACAATACCATCGAGAGAGGCAGAGGGTTCTTCAGGTTGAACTCTCAAAACCTGGAGGATCCAGACATCGGCAGCTGGCTTGAAAAGCACATGAAGGCATGGGAGTCTGCGAAACAGTACTTTGATTCTACAGCTGAGTGGCTGGATAGCGGGATTGCAATTGCCTCAGGAGTGATGAACGTCTGCTCCAAGATACTAGCCAGAAACAGAAATCAGAGGGATGCAGAGTGCAGAAGGAGAGTGGAAGAGGCGGAAGAATAGATGGAGGGACATCCCATCTCGACCATGGTGTGGGTAGCGGAAAGGGAGAAGAGGATGGCAGAATGAGAGAGCATCCAGGCAGACAAAGAACGGAGATGGGCGGTTCTCAAGGAGAAAGGGATAGAGGTGCATGACAAGATGACGAAAGAGACCTTTCAGAGGCTTCAACCAAGGCGGCTGCAACAGCAGATGGTGGAACTTGGGCACCCATTCGATGAAAGGGAACCAAGGGCCTCTTCTGCCTCAGGCCTACTGGAATATGCTAAGCTCTACTATGAAGACATCTTGACTACCCGGCGGCCCCAGGACGACTTTCTCACAGACCTATCAGAGAACTCGGACATGTTGGAGGACACAACGGTCTCGCTGCCAATAGCAGCAAGATTAGACCTGGACAGACCAGTTACGGTAGAAGAAACAGCCCAAACGCTGAAGTTGATGGCAACAGGGAAATCCCCCGGAGTGGATGGCCTAACGGTGGAATTCTTCCGGAAGAATTGGACCATCTTTGGACCAGCACTTGTAGAACTATACAACAAGGTTCTGTCAGACGGGAAGTTGGGGAAGGGAATGACACACGGGGTTATCACAGTGTTGTTCAAGAAGGGAGACAAAGCAGACGTCAAGAATTGACGCCCAATCTCACTTCTGAATGTCTCATATAAGATCCTAGCCAAGACATTGGCAAGGCGGCTTGGCAGATATCTGCCTGACCTGGTCGGGGGGGACCAGGGTGCCTTTGTACAAGGCAGATCAATCTTCAACAACATCATCACTGCTATCGAAGTCCTGGAAGTGGTGCAATCGGAGAATCTGGATATGGCGGTCCTTCTCATTGACCTAGAGAAGGCGTACGACAAGGTGGGGTGGCCTTTCGTCATGGCGACACTGCGAAGGATGGGATTTGGAGCAGGATTCTGCAAGTGGGTAGTGGCAATGTACACAGCCGCCACATCATCAGTGATCATCAACGGACATCTGTCCACACCTTTCAGACTGACACGGTCGCTCAGACAAGGCTGCCCTCTCGCTCCGTTGCTGTTCGTTCTTCAGATGGAAGTCCTACTCAATCGTATAAGAAGACACCCACATATCAGAGGCCTGCGGCTGTTCAGCGGCGCAGAATGTAGAGTCAAGGCCCTTGCGGATGACCTCTTCGCAGTATGCGAGAACTCAGTGGAAGCCCTATCTGCAATGAAAGAGATTATGACACAGTATTCAACTCTGTCAAAAGCCTCGGTGAATTGGAACAAGTCCACCTACCTGCTACCAAAGACTTATGAGATGAAACTGGATTGGGGAATGAAAAGGGTCGAAGAAGGGAAAGAGGAACGTTTCCTAGGTGTCTTGATAAGTCTGCAGGTGGAGGCCACAACACAAGGTCTACTCCTGGAGCATCGCATCGCGGTAAGGCTTCAACTGTGGGGGACGGCCTGACACCTGTCAATCATCGGAAGAGCGCTGGTTACTAACGCAACACTATTCTCCATCCTCTGGTTCGTCTCAGGTGTGAGAGAACTGGCAGAAGGAATCCTCATGGCAATCCGCAGACTGGCTACAAGGTTCCTGTGGAACCCCAGGGCCAAGAACAGCGAGGGCTTCTTTGTGAAAGTGGCTTGGGAGACACTCACATTCCCAAGAGATCAGGGCGGCCTGGGCTTGATGAACCCAGCCAGAAGAAACCAGGCCCAACTGCGAGTCTGGCTCAACAAGATAGCTACAGCAGCTTCCAAGGAACACTGGGTAGAGCTGGCGGAGAGGATACTGATGGGTGAATGGGGCCTGTCCAGACCAGAAGATGTCTGGGTTTGTTTTTTCATGGAATCCTTCAGAAAAAGGAAGCTGAAGTCAACTTTCTGGAACTCAGTCAGAAAGGCCTGGAACAAACAGCCACCAGATGTTCAACAGTCGCCACAGACAAAGGAAGAAATCCTACTCCAGAATCTGTTCGAGAACCCCTCAATCTGCGACCAGTCAGGGGAGCCTTTCAAGGCGGATGGGTCCACAGGTTCGTTCGGCCTGGCATGGATGCGTAGGGGGGTAGTACGTATCAAAGACCTATGGTCCTCGCTGCTGGGGGGGTGGATTCCGCTAAGGGACATCAAGTCCAAGCTTCACGGCCTGCGAAGGGTGGAGGAACACTGGCACATCATCCGTGAAGGCATCCCGCAGAGCTGGAAGGACCTCCTAGGCCCGGACGGAGTAGACCCTCCGGGAACCTGGTACTACGCTGCTGAAGAACAGGAACCGGATGTAGTATGGAAGGTACTGGAGGTGCTGGAAAGCGGTTTCAGGAGAGTAGAAAGGTGGAAGTGCAGCCAACCGACCAACAGTCTGACGCGGATCAACGAAGAGGTAATCTTGCTGTGGAACAACCCTGCTCAAATCAGAGTGATTGAAATGCCGGAAAAGAGGGGAAAAGTAAAAGTGCTCTCTTGGATTGGTTGAGTCCCACTCTGCTAACTGAGCATCGATCCTAATGCTTGGAGCTGGAGACCTCACAACGCAAACAGTGTGGTGTCCATGGCCGACTACTCCGTCAAAGCAGGCTACGTCTTATCCGCCGAGGTTCAGAGGACACCGGCAGCGGTCGCAGAAAGAAGGTGGCAGACATTACTGGGAGAAACTATCCCAGAAGCTGAACAACAGTTCTTAAAACTGTGGAAGATCCTGACCAAACTGCCCAATGGAAAGCAAGTCAGTATCCTGTGGCTTCTCTCGCTGTTAGTGACCCCCTCGGCAGTGTGGCTACTAAGCAGGGGGATGACGGTGGAACTGCGCTGTAATCGGTGCAATTGGCCATTTGAATCAACGCGGCACTTGTGGTGGGAATGCCCTGCGTCGAAGAGGATCTGGAAATGGTGGGAGACTCATTGGAAGGAAATGGGAGGGGAGGAGGTGGAGTGGAACAAACAGTGGGTATTGCTGGGCTTTCTACCTGCAAACTCACCTGGGAAAAAGGGATGGAGCTATATAGCCCACGTGGCTAGGGGGATAATCTGTGAGGTGATCTGGGCTGACCGCAACAAAACAAGATTTGAAAGGAGATCACTCACAGACCTGGAGATCAAGCACAGGATCAAGCTGGGGCTGAAGCAGGCGATCAACGTGGACTGGAAAAGGAAAGTTAGAGCGGGGAGAGGGAGTCGACTTCAGAAGAAGTGGTTTCTCAGAACCTGGGCCAGGCAGAACCGTTTGGCAACAGTGCACTGCCAGAGGGGCTTGATCCTCTCACCTTGGTTAATGGAAGCAGGCGGTAAGATAGAGGTACGGTAGTAAGATGGAGACTAACTGGGACGGGACCTGGACACTCGGTCCCAGCTAGGGCCGCTGTGGGCCGTTAGGAGAGTGTCAGTAGGTAAAGACTTATCCCACTGAGCCGCGTTAGTCCCAGGGGGAAGTCAGGTAGTGGTAGGGGAAGCTCATAAGTTTATCTAGTTAGACCCTGAGACGTGTGGCTACAACCACTCAATTTTAGCAAGTACAATGATCAGTGTTGATAATTCTGCAGGCAGGAAGCCATGAGGCTTCAGACAGTCACAATGTACTCAGGTTGCCAAAAGTAGACAATAGTAGCTTTGACCTTCGTCAGTATCTCATTTTCTCCAAGTTGTGGCTCAAGGTAGAGCTGGTTGTAGGAATTTGGAAAGTTGGCAGGCCGTTCCACTTTCCACAGGCGTACACCTGTAAGCTAATCTGGCTGATGCTGTCAGTATTCCGGGTTGAGTTGTGAGGTCCCCGGCCTCGATGCTACATTTATAATGAATCAACTGGTTGTTTGTAAAAAAAAAAAAAAAAAAAAAACCGCTAGGACACGGCCCCAGCCTTGCAGAAAGTTTTTGTTGCCACAAGCACAACTCGGAGGCACCGTGCAGCCAAGCCCGGCGTTGAAAAGAAAAATCGGTGGCCTCCGAAGTGGTGGGGGTTTCGAGCTGACACCCGTGGGCCAATATGCGGTGTACTGGTGCTTTAAAGCTGGAAGGTTGAGCAAGTGGGGGGGTTAATCTGAAGGTCATCCCAGTAGAATTAGACCGCTGTTGCATAGGAAGATGTGATCAGACAGAAACAACAGCGGCTCGTCTTTTATTTTTTTTTTTTTTATTTTTTTTTTTTTT